AGGGGCATTTGTAATTTATAATCACAATCACTTGCACACGCCATCAAAACCGAAATAATAAATAAATATAATATATATATAAAGAGGTCCCCACCTCTTATACAGTTTTTTTTGCTGTTAAACTAAGATAAATATTTCGTGAAAAAAGGAAATGGCCTTCGTGTCAAATACATATGTACATACCCACATGAGTTTAATAATCTCGCGTTACTTACACGTAATCAAACATACAACCCCAAAGAGACCTGCTTGTCTGTTTTGTTAATTCAACAAACATAAGAAAGATAAAATATTTTAGATTTTTTAAAGGGAGGCGGAAGTAAAAATGTGAAAATGCCACTGATCTAATGATGTTTTTTTTTTTATCTCTATGTAGGAATATTTATAATTTGTAATTACAAAAAAGATGTAAAAACGGAGTTGGCATTCAGGAATGAGAGCTTTCAAGTGTACACTGAAAATTTTGCGATTCAGCAAGTGTGAGAATGAGTTTTAGCTGTCAAATTTGTGTACAGTTCTCTTCCGAAAATAGAATTCAGTCAGTTTTTGGTTTTGAGTTTTGCACTCGGCGTTCACTACAATTTCTCACAGTTACAGAACCCAGCCTCAGTTTGGGAAAACGCAAAAGACACCTGTGCGTATACGTAATATTTACATATGTAGTTACATTCAGGCACATAAGTGCCGTTGCGCCCGCTCCGCACTTTTTTATGTGTAATTATTAGGGCCTTAACACAATTCAGTACGCGATTTAATACTTTATGTGTCGGAAATCCAGCTGCTGATTAACCGGCGACCAGAATGTTGTAAGCGACACTAAGGGTATTGAAAATACAAACGTCTTGCAGGAATATCTTGGTGCTGCAGCCCCGAATACTTAGATGGATACATACTAAGTATGATTGTATTGACGCCGGCATCTATGGACCAATGCTATAGCTCTCTATTCCCATGGTGGAAGCATATCTGAGCATATTTCAGGCGGAGGTCTGTGCAATTAGTCTATGTGCAGACATTAACCTACGTAGGAATTATCGTGATAGCTAATAGCGGCACTGAAGGCCCTAGCATCATTTGAGGTCAAATCCTCCTTGGTCTTTGAGTGCATCAACAAGCTTAATACTTAACGAGGAGGCGGACCGTCTAGCTAGAACGGCGGCCGCCCGTCTCACATAGCGCCTGCGTTAGGAGTTAGGACTAAACGTGGAGTTGCCAGAAGCGGCATTCCACAAAATAAATCGCCTGTTCGCAGTGCATATCTGAAAAAATATCGAACTATTTTTCTATCTTGGGATATTTACAACTGAAAGCGGTAGACAGCGAAGAAAAAATTTGACTGTATCTCTCAAAGATATGCCGTAGCCAAGTCGAGTCCACGACAAATCTAAAAATCATACAAAAAAGATATTTTCTACACCCAGAAAAAAATCAGCGAAATATATTTATCTCAAGACATGATTTGGTTATAGTTACCAAATCGATTACTGAGTGGAACCTTTCAAGAACGCCGTACTTCAGAATTTGATTGAAGAATGCCCTATTTCAGAATTTTATTGAAAAGCACCTTGTCTCAGGATTTCGTGGAAGAAAGCCCTATCTCTGAATTCGGCTCGAAAACGCCTTATCTCAACTGAAAATGTGCTGAGATAGAGCGTTTTTGAACCGAATTCTGAGATGGGCATTCTTGAAAATTTTTCTGAGATAGGGCGTTTTCGAACCGGCTGCCGAGATAGGTCCATCTTCCACTCAGCCATCGAAATCATGTGTTGAGAGAAATATTTTCAGCCGCCTTTTTTTTAGGGTGGGTGTACTTGCGGTCTCCTCTCGACAAGCAATAGAAAACCTTCGCTCCAAAAAACAATTCAACTACCCTTCGGATTTGGCATAAAACTATAGATCCACCGATTTGCATGACAACATTAAATTAATTTCTTCGTAGCGCCAACTAAAATGTTCTGTACCTTAGTTGGTTGGTTTTTGTTTTTTAATAGTGAATCATTTCATGTGTTTACACATATTCACATACTTATATACTTAAATACTTTCATATTCACATTTCAGCTGCCTACAACAAACTTTCTACCAGCGAAGTTCAAATTCGTAGCCCTTTTTTCTGCATTTGTCAGTCACTTTCCGCCTTTTCTAAAAGTTTTATTGCACTTCTTCGGTTGTCGGCGCAAGTTAATTGTGTGTGCCCCTACCTGTCAACCCGAGGTCGAGGTCATTAAAATATATATGTACATACATACATATACAATGTAAACCTTGTGCCAGCAACCACTTGGCACGACTGTAGTTAGTTAACGAAAATCTTAGCAAACAATTGATTGGCGTAGGCGGTTAGTTGGAAGAAAGCTTTAATGTGCATCAATATTTACATTTATCGCATTTTACTTTTACACTTAGTTAGTTAGTTGGTTAGATACTGTTGTGAATGTTTTTATGATTGCGCGCCACGCCGCATTGCCGCATTTCTGCTGTCTGCCAATGTGTGGGCGAGCAAATATTAATTTTCAAATTATCGTACTTACATACATACATACATATGTACATAGATATGTTATTCGAAGTGCTTATAACTAATTTACATATTTTTGTATTGGGAATCCATCCTAAATGAGGGCATTCAACTATAACTATATGAAAATAATTTCGTGAATTAAGTTCCAAATGCGCGAAATGTGTAAGCAAAATTTCTTTTTCATTGACGCAATAACCGCTTAGGATTTTGGTCGAATTCAAAATAGTGCGCCAGTCGTTTTTACTAATTGCTGCCAATAAGAAACGCCAAGTAAGGCCACGCCCTCCCAACTTGGATTTTCTAACGCAGAGTTGGTTTTCTTCTATCACTACCTCCACCAACCAAACACCCAATTACTTAGTATAAAGAGATTGCTACATAGATACTGAATTGAAAAAGCCTGTACATTTAGGAGTTACCAAATTCTTATTTAAGTACTTAAGTACTTGACGGTGCCAAAATGCTAATGTACTAAGGTATTTATCAGATTTATTCAAGAAATGAAATGATAAGAAATTTTTAATTTTTTATACCCGAGCGCTCTTGCCTTGATAAATTTATTCGCATAACGGTTGTTTTTTAACAGCCTAGAGGAAGCGAGATAGATATAGACAAATTGGATGGTAACCATACCCACCTCTTAATATAATTTACAGAAATATAAAAACTGATATTGATCAATAACTACCGAAGGGACTTCACTCAAAATAGATATTGGCAGTAAATGAGATTATCATCTCGATAACCGATTTATCAATTTCTGCCAAACTTGTTGCAGTTATTCCTCTTGGTACAAAAAAGGCAAAAGTTGAAAATGTTTGAAATCGGGTTAAAATGCGCCCATTGCACATATAAGGGTAAGTGTCACAAATGCGAAAACTAATAATACTAATAAACTGCAAGTAAATACTTACAACAATCTTTTAACAGGAAATAAGGTTTTTTTTTGGATTTTTGGAAAATGGGTGTGGCACCGCCCACTTATCACTACATAAGTTTATCTTTGGAAGCGCTTCGAAGATTCCTACCAAACTCGGTTCAATTATTTAGTTAAGTGTACTTGATCATATTATCGAAAGTACTTGAAATCGGAGGAAAAGACATACCGTGCGCTAGAGGTGCAAAACTATCGATAGTCAGGCCATCGATAGTTTTCGATATTATTTTCAAAACTATCGATATATCGTCGATAGTATCGTATTTATATGATTTTGGCTCAATTTTCGTATGAAGATTTCGTTAAGAATATATTCCGAAATTACGTTTCGATAACCTTGTAAACTGCTGGACACTTTTTTAATTGTTTAACCGTTAAGTTAGAAGTAAAGTTATTGAAAATTTAAATTGAATTGAAATGGAATAAAATTAGGCGTACTGAAATTTTATATTTGTGGTTTTCGATATCCTCCGTCATATATAAGGCATTCATTAAGTAAATTTCAATTTTAGAAGAAGGAAACATTTTTAATCTGGGAAGTAATGGTTTTTATCTACCTTTTATTAAATAGTAGATAGATAATATTGAAAGTTTTGGTATAAATTAATTTGTTTCAGTTTTTTAGCAGTATTTTAAAAGATGCAAGGTTTTACGTCATTTTCGAAATTTTACATTACTCTTTTAAAAAAGTAGCAACCAAATTTTTAGTTCAACTTGGATATTTAAGAGAAATGAAAAGAAAAGAAGAAGTAAAACTAAAATAAATACTGAATCACATGTCTGTCGGACTATCGATAGGACCAAAAAACAATCGATAGTAGGGAAAAATAAAAAACATCGATACTATCGATAGTGCCATCGATAGTTTTGCACCTCTACCGTGCGCCTGGCATGTCAATTTCGGTTTCGCCCGAACTTGTACTTTTTTCTTATTATTTAGGAGATTGCCAAAGTAATGATATGCTTCGTGAGTTTCGAAACTTTTCAAATATTTTTCTGGTATTTTGCTCTTCGGAATTTTTCCGGAAAATTGCGGATTTTCAGGATTATATCGGGATTTTCGGTTTATTTATTTATTTTCAGTGCTGTTGGAGATTTTCGCGACTTCGCGGCATTACTTTTTTATACTGCATCTAAGGGAAACTCAGGACTTTTCGCCATTACTTTTGTATCAGCATAAATGCTAAGTTCGTTTGTATACAGTATTTAGTTAAGCAAAAACTTCTAAAAGCCAGTTTCATGAAAACAATTTAATTTAAAAATGATTTGGATTTTTATTTGATGACACATTAAAACGGGTATATCTCGAGAAAGAAAAATCGAATGCCAACAAATTAAAATGAATTTTAAAGGAGAAGAGTATGACTAAATGATGCCTTAAGTGGAAATAAGCAAACAAGTTTGTTGTTCTCATAATATAACCTCAAATATCGCCAAAAACCGTTTTTCCAGATTTAGATTTAGCACCAAAAAAATCCACAAGGAACGATGTGTTACTAAGGTGACAAAAAAAAAGTCAATCGTCATCAAGTCATTCGTCCAATTGTGTTATTTGCTCTTTTTTTGTAGCAAATGACACAGTTCGGTACTTAGTATTAGGTAAATATAATTTTGTCGAAGTTCTGCCGAATTTCCACTAGGCATTGAAATTACAAAAAATTTATGCCATTTTAAAAAATGCCATATGGAAATGAACCTATTGACTATTTTTTTTAATGTAATGACACGATTATTTTTTAATGCCCGACTTTCTCATTTGTTATTTTTGCCATTTAATGCCTAGTGGAAATCTAGCATTAGCCTTCCGTGCACCTTCTGCTGAAAGTTCTGCCCTAGGTTAACATTTTTATTAGATTTTCTTACAAATTTGATATGTAAGTTTCTTAACCGTAGATTTATGACGAAATCCTACTCACTGACTGCCTCGATTGTGATTAAGGCTAATCATAATAACCCCGATAAAATGAAGAAAAAACCCACTCACACATTTATATACATAGATACACAAAAATCTGCACTAAAATCAAGTTACCTTCAATTGCTTAATTTTTATGTACATATTTTGTTATAATGAACACGTGCGTTATGATAAATAACTGTAATAATAATTTAATTGCGCTTGTTTTACGATTGTCGCTTATTAAATATTTAAGACTGCAAACACATTTTACGACAGCAAAAAAACTTCTTTGCCTTAGCGCGACTTTTGCCAATAAATTCATGTTAATGGCGTGAGTGAGTAAAAGTTGCCAACTTAAACTACTCTTATTAGAAAACTGCGCAACACACACTTTTTATGACAAACATAGATATGTATGTATGTATATGAACCTGTACCTAAATAGTATGTATGTAATCCACACTACTTATTTAGTCTGCACGAGACTATTATTTTGAGCTATTAAGCGTAACGCAAAGACGAATAAGTAAGGTCGTTTTCTTCCATTACAGTGCCATATACATATTTAGATATTAAGTGAGTCAATGAGTTGAACTTTGCACTGAAACGCTCGCCACTTCTAACTGCTTAAGGACTTCTCACTGCAGCTTTACTTGGCTGTTGTTTAAATGTGGTTAACAGATTTGCTCTAACCACTCGTATAAGTAAGTGAGTGTGGGCGGTGAGCTTGAACTTTGATTGGTACAATTCGACCATCTTCTATTTCATCAGTCTACAGGATAATGGCTTCTGAGCCACATGAAAAATTAATCTCATTCAATATTCAATAAAAAATTGCAAATGCAAATCTCATTTTACAGCAATAAAATAATACAATTTCAAAACGGTAAAAGAAATATTAACAGAAAACCGCTGCCGAAAGTTTCCCTAAATATTCCTGCTGCTTAAGCCTGCATACCTACTTAAAAGAAACAAATGGCCGACAAGAGCTTCAAATCTCCGCTACGCGTCTGTTCCTATAAAAACGAAGTTTAGCATAAATAAGTATGTAAAATCGCCAATATTTGCATGCAATTAACTTGCCTAAAGCAACATTGCCGAAATCATTAGCGTGAATCTACAAAATAACCAAGACACAAGGCCTGTGTGCTGTTCACACCAGGGATGTTGCGTATATTTACATTCGCATTCGTTATGCGAATAATTCGCATCATATAACACATTCGCATGGGCAGAGAGTCCCCTCTATTATTGTTGAAATGGCTCTAAGTCTGTCTAACCAAGGTGCGGACAATAACCGGCTTCTAGCTTCAGGGCCTTCAACAAGTATTGCTAAAAGTCTTAAAAGCAACCGAGAAATAATTTTAGATTCCTGTAGCGAAAGCGAAGGCTCGGAAATTGACAGATCTGGCCCGAAAATGTTTGAGCACTCCATTCGCCAGCGTTCCAAGTGAGCAATTGTTCAGTGCAGCCGGCCTTATGTACGCGCCTCTAAGAAATCGCCTCATGGGAGTAAAGGCAGCAAAATTACTTTTTTTTTGAAAATAAAATGCCCCTTTTGAACTTTGACTACTAGATTGCAAAACTGTATAGGTTAAGCACTCGTTCGATGTTCTAAAAATTGACAAAATTTTTAAGTAATAAAAACGATGACTTATTTAAGTTGACTATAGCTTTTTTAATGTTATTCCTAACATTCGCATTCGCATTCCGAAAAGTGGCATTCGCAAATGTGAATGACATTCGAAACATCCCTAATTCACAACAATTGCCTAGCGGTCATTTCGTTGCGATGTCCGAGCTTTACTGCGTACATATTTTACTTAAGACGCCAGCTGGCAAATAACTAAAAGAAATGTTGACACGGCGAAATAAAGAAACATAAAGAACATTTCATATAAAACAAGGGCCAGCACTCGTATAAGGTATTACAACGCGAAACCGCATGGCAATCAAAAAAGCAAAGTAAGAAAAATTCGGAAATTCTCTGCATTTCACACGTCCAGCTGAACAAATAAAAATATATGTTATATGTGCCTGGTGCGTATTGTGGGATATAACATAATAAATTTTGGAGAATGTTATACGCGCATACATACATATACTTCTAAAAGAATGTATCTACATATATGTATAACTACATACATACTGCCTTTTTTTACGTTACTCATACGCACCGTCGGTTTTTAATATTAAATGTGTTAAAGCAAAATAGTAAGCAAAGTTGACATACATATAGCTCTAATAAAAGTGTATCCCATTTTTATGTGGAAAGTCTCTATTTGTAAGCTAACTTTTCGCTTCGTTGCCAAAGACTTTTTCTATGAAAACATTACTTGACTTGTAAATGTAGATGACTGTAAATAATAATTGAGGTAATGAAGATTCACTGTTGATGATATGATACATATTCGCCTTCCTATCCCACCGAGTTGTAGCCACGGATGCCTAATGAAATGTAGCAAAAAATTAAATATTGAATAGGTATTCTGGAGAGACAGTTTTCGACTTAAAAGCGAATCGAGTAATCTATTTAGGTGGCCAAACTGTAATTAAAGCTAGAGGATTTTTCGCTCCTATATCGGTAAATGAGTGAGATGCCAAGCTCTATATAATAGAATGAAAGGAAGACTGTCAGATTTTGTCGGCAAACGTCTAAAACTACTAACTATATCGGAATTCTCATTGTGATGGAGATTAAGAGTAGCGAAGCTGTAAGGGTTCGCGCCCTGCATCGGATGGGTCGGTCAACAAAGGCATACCGCCTGCTATATATGTGCCAGATCGACACAACCTACTGGCTGGTGTTTTCAAGTAATTTTCACATTGCTTGGCGACTAAAATTGACGAAATAATCATATCGCAATATTACGCAAGTGAAGTAAGAAGAAAAAGACCGAAATACGCAAATGCGAAGAGTAAAAACGTGCAGACATTTTTTGATGGAGGAATGATCTTCCGTTTTCTGATCACGACGAGGTACGAATTGCAGTAGCACGGCCCGGAAATAACAAACCTTCTGGAGCCGATAATTTGCGAGCTGAGCTATTCAAGGCCAGAATCTAGTTGGCAGGATATAGTATGACATAAGGATGCCAGCTGATAGGAATCTAAGCTCACTCTGAGCAATCCACAAAAAGGATACAAAAGGTTACAAATACCATCGAATCAGCTTTCTGAGCTTCGGCTAAAGCATTTAGTGTTAGAATTTAGAGTTCCTGCGAAACTAATACTTGACTTTTTGCAGTATCACCAGCTTACGGCAGAATTGGGAAGAACACCTCTCCAGCCGTTTGGAAGCATTTTAAGCTTCAGACAGTGGCTTTCACTGTCGTGTGATTTCTTTAAGCTGATGTGAGGGAGTATACTTACTAAGAGCTTCGGAGCTGAACCGCTCGGTATCACCGGTCTGCTCGAAGTTAGATAGAGAAGCAAAACTCGCGGGTTGGATGGTGAACGAGAACAAAATGAAGTATCGGCAGCAGTCAGGAACGAAAATCACATTCTATAAGTCACTCATAATGCCTGTACCGCCCGTATAGTGCAAAATTCTGGACGATTAGGGACCCTTAGATTATTCGAAAGAACTATTCTATGGAAAACAATGGCCTTAAAGCATTTGTGTCGAAGACTAGCTGGAACAATGGAACGATACGAATCAAAATACAGCGACTGCTATGGCTAGGCCATGTCGTAGTACGAGCGGATGCAAACGCTCCAGCCCTGAAAGTTTTCGACGTGGTACCCGCTTCCCTTGGCATTTGCAGTTGGCTTCAGTTATCATGGAATATAACAACTGAAGTTATTTTATTGGCCTCGGTCAAAATCGCTTAAGCGGTTACAGCGTCAATCAAGAAGAAGAAGAAGTAATATAAAAATCTTTTGAATCCGATTTTTGTTCCTTGAGAGATAATTGAATCACCCAAGTAATCACCAAATCGATTGTAGGGCATCACAAAAAAAATATCCCTGGTGCTATTAGAGTGTGTAAACACTATCACTTCAATAATTCGAAAGCCTTCGAAAGTGAGGTTATCTCGAAATTTAAATGTGTGTATTTCTTTTTAAAGGTTTTAAATTTTCTGTAGAATTATTATATGTACACGGATACTAACGATACTATACACTTTTTAATTTATTAGTGAATTAGTTATGCTTCGAATTCACTTACAATGTTTTCCTCTTTTCCTTTCAGATCTGCGAACAGCATTCGATCTCTTGGACAGAAATCGCGATGGTCGCGTGACAGCAAATGAGCTGCAATTTATGTTAAAAAATCTTGGTATAAATGTGCGAGACGAAATCATACACGATCTCATACGGGAAGCAAGCCATTCTGGTGAGTAGAAAAATAAAATAAGACATTCAAATAATTTACAAATGTATATATGAGTTATAACTTATAACCCGAGCTCAGGGTTTTATGCTAAAAATAGGGCTGAAAATATGTTCTATCATAACCAAATATAAGGAAAATTTATAAATAGGTATACACTTTGCTTATATATAGCTCCAGTTTTTTTTTATGAATTTGGGGGTAACTTTTTGAGTTCCAAAAATAAAATACACGTATGTATATATTCGAATATGCAGTAAGCAAAAATTCTTATACACATACATATAAAAATGTGTAGTGCCTCTGATGGCAATATATCTTTAGTAGGTAATCCATCAAAAATTAGCTGACATCCACCTGCAAATTATAGCACTGTAGTTATAAATGAAAAGCAAAACTAAAAGAAATACGATACCTCTGCCTAGACTAATTATCAGTTGCCGTCAATTTCCCAGACATGCTGCTAACAACTAATTTATAAAACACAAGTTTTCACACATGCCTGCAATAATTATTGCAATAAATATTTCAGTGCACATTCGTGTACACTAGCACCTGTCTGTATGTACATACGTGTGTATGTTAGTGTATGCATTCGTATTGCATATTGAGGTGAGCAGCGCAAATTGCGCCTAAAGCCATGCAATACATGCCGAGTTCGCTCATACCCCAGCAGAAACGACCAAACGCATTCTCCAATACACTTAAAAAATTGTAAATAAAAACCAACACATTTGCACTTTAGCGTTATTTAATAATATTTAATTGAAAAGAGACAACTACATATACGCTAACTAGGGATGTTAATTTTTTGGCTTTTTACAATGCCGGGATTTTCGGGATGCCGTTATCACAATCTCGGGATTTAGGTATTCATTACTTTTCAACAACTTAAATCGAAGAAATGGCTTCTAAATTGTTTGAGAATCTATCCAAACATAAAATAAATAATAAATAAATGCGTTTGAAACCTACGTTTTTATTTAAAGTGGCGTTTTTATTTCTTCTCTCTGACGTGAGGATTTATTTTTAAGGACTTTGTAATTTTAAATATATGATTAATTCCAAAAATTATTTAAAAAATTCAATGCATTGTAGGAAGGAAAGAATGAAGGAAATTTTTAGAATTAAAAAAAATAAAAATTTTTGGATTCACAATGACGAATAGGTAACCTTTTAAGCTGATAAAGTTAAAAGGACGAAATTCGAGCAAGTTATCGGGTTTATATAAGTCCTTAACATATAATTTTTTCAAAAACAAATATTGCGAAATTTCAATGAAAAAATTTTAAAAGGACATTTTCAATACTTACCGGTCCATATGCACAAAAAAAATGAATCTGATTAAATTCTACAGAATTTCCTCTTTATCTTGATACCCATACTTCTACTCCTAGCACATTTCAGTGAATTTTTTAAATTATTTTGGAATTACTTACGTAAGGGTGAAAAACTAAAACTCAATTTCACAATATTTGGCTCATGGTTTCCCGAAAATATTAATTTTTGTGTGTAAAATTTATTATCGCACGGTGTAATATGTATAATGAGCTAGACATTTATGAAAAAATATTAATTATTAAATAAACAAATAAATATAGCCAATACTGGTCAAGAAAATGAGTTTCTATTATTGCCAAGAATTCCGGGATTTTCGGGACCTAAATGCATGAAACGGAGTCCATCCAAGGAGCAACTCCAGCGGCGCGGTTGAATAAACTGTCCTCGATTCTGAGGCTCATTATTAATCTTTCAATTTGAATATTAGACGATTTTTCCAAACATTAAAATATAAAATTGAAGTAACAAAATTTATATGCATGGCATCACAAAAATATTTAAAATAAGTTTCGCCCGAAAAAAAATTCACTCAAAAAATTTTCAGCCGCCCATAGTAAATACACGGAAAGAAAAAGTGAAAAGTGAACCGGTTCGGGGAAAATGAAAAAATAAAAATTTAAAAAAATTTAATTTTTATCCCAGAAAGGAACTATGAACTGGAAGTCAAGAAAGCGGAGCGCACAATTTTGACGGACATTTGCTTTAGAAAAAAATTTGTTTACTCAGGAAACGTACATATGTATGAGCATAGTCCACATTAAGGAGCAATGTGAAAAAGCTCATATGTGCACATATATTTGGTTTTCTCACAGCTCAGCTGTCACTTCCCTGGTGTTTCTTAACGGCCGTATGCTCGCCATTTTATCTTTTTTTTCACTGGTGCCATAGATTTTACGATGCAATTTGTTTGCATTTCACTTTTTCGTAGTTGACAGTTTTGCAAAATTTACGAGTAGTAGTCAGCAGTGTGAATGCACACAAACACGTACAAAGCAAGCAAGCACCCTTTCATCTACCCACCGCCAACGTTTTGTGGCTCATTCATTTTACCGCTGCTATTGCGGTCTTGCCTGCAACCGAAAGCACATAAATTTGTGTAAATTATTTAAAATGATTTGCGAACTTTTTGTGCGAAGTTTTGGTTTCAACACAAATGTTGTTTGCTTGTTAGCGTTAGTTCATCAGCTTTTTCGCACACGGTCTGAAAGTGATAATAATTATTGTCACACTAGCAAACTTTTTCCTCATGCTCGTGTAAATACATATTCGCAAAAACTTAGTGACTTTAGCACATTTTCTAATATGTTAGTTTTTTTTTTTTGTTTTGTAGATTTTCGACTAGCTGTGTGAAAACTTGCATGTTTGCAAATTTTATCGCAAACTAAATTCATTTGTATTGTCCGTTTTTACTTTTAAACACCTCGCGTGTATTCATTCCATATGAATGCCATGCCATCTATTTTAATGCCGTTGCTAGCGATAAGAGTTGATTATGTTAATTTTATGTCGCCCGATAAGTGCCACCGTGTTTTCTGTGATTACCAGGAAAGAAAAGCAATAGCTTGGAAAAATTAAAGCATTTTAATGTGCTTATTTTTTGTGAGGTTTTAATTTTTGTGGCAGTTACCAAATATTTTGGGTCACGCAAGGATATTAAAAGAAGTGTTTAATTAGCATTGTGGGAATATGATAAAAATAATATTTAAATAATAAAAGTAACTGTTTGTTGTGCAATAATCTGCAATTAAATATAAATTGCATTGAAACAAAAAAGCGACAGCAGAAGAGGGGAATAGCTGGGGTTGTTGGACATGATTAAAATTAAGACTAAGACTAAGATTAAGATTAAGATTGAGATTGAGATTAAGATTGAGATTTAAATTTAGATTTAGATTTAGATGCAAATCAGGTTTAAGATTTAGTATTTTATTTTGATTGGATGTGAATTAAGATTTACATTTGGATTTAGATTTAGGTTTGGATTTAGATTAAGATGGAAATTTAGATTAAGATAAGGATTAAGATTCATATTTATATTTAAATTTAGAAGTGGATTAAGATTTCGATTTTGATGAATATTAAGGTTTACATGAAGATTAAGATTTAGATTTGGATGAAAATTAAGGTTCAGTTTAAGATTTTGATTTAGATTAAGATTTAGATTTAGATTCAGAGAGCTATTAAGGTTAAGATTAACATTAAGTTTAGGATTATAAGAATAGGATTAACATTAAGTTTAAGGATGATATTGATATTGAGCCTAAGATTTGGATAAGGATCAAGATCAGCATAATCATTCATTAATATGCAGAAAAATGCTCATAAAGTTAATAAAGGATCCACGGACCACTTATTTTTTAAATACAAAGGCTGCCGCAAGAGCAAGTCGTTTGTGGGCGGCCGCCTTAGGGTATTGTTGTTGGTGTTTATGCTGGATAATAGGTGACGTGTGTCGAAACACACGAAGACTTTTTTGATTTGCCAGCAGATACCTTGTCTTGCCATTGTTCACCACTAGAGTAAACCCTTTCGCTTCTTTTTTCTAAGCTGCAAATTTCAGAGCTGACGTGCCGGGGTCTCAGGCGCCGTGCTTCTGCTGTATATGGTGCTACTGCGACTTAAATTTGCAGCTCTTATTACGCTTTCTTGCCTAAGATTGAAAGGTTCGCGGGACGGTGTATGTATATCTGTTTGCTCATCCTCTGCCTTCTCCGGGATTTGACGAACTATGAAAATCTGGTCGATGCTCGATTTTCCAGGTCTGAATCCACACTAAGTAGATCTAGGCAGTTGCTTTATGACACAGTATCGCCGGTAGGACCTTATATGGAAAGAGGCCAATTTCGCGGTAATTGGCGCAAAAATCGGTGTCACCCTTCTTATATATTGGGCACTGAGTACACTAAGATTCCAATTTTCGAGCCAAATTATGCTTAGAAGCTGGTATATGCTCCCTACCAGCTTTTCGCCGCCGGCTTGTTAGAGTTGATGTCTTGGTAGGCCGAAAGTTTCGTCACTATACATTATTCTGGGTTCCTTTTCATCAAACGCGCCACCTGTTTCGTCATTCAAAAGCATTGAAAGGCTTTCCATCCAAAAATCAAGTGCACTCTGGCCGTCTGTTACCAGATTTCTATCTTCATCCATCTTAAAACCATTTGAAAACCAACTGACCTGAAGCACCTTTTGAATATTGCTGACTCGGTTTTTTCTTAGAAAAAAAAACCTTAAAATGTATTAGCTAGATATGTCTAGAAGCCAAGCAACCACTTACGCAATTTGAAATTTCCGACGTTTCAAAATATGGGCTTTCTGCCACTCTTATACCATTTTTATCTTGGTGAAAAATTCTTTAAAACATCCAATCCTCAGTATTTTTTTATTTCATACTTAAGCTCTTATATGAACATTGGTGGCAATTCTCCAAATACCTCATAAATAATACTATTAAGCTCTACTTGGCATTCAAATGTCCACTTCAAAAAATCGGTGGGTACTTTTCTGCTTAAGCCCACAGAAAATTCTCAGTTGTGCAGTCGACCACGCGTGGTAAGCCGATTAGGGAAAGTGGCAAAAAGGCGAGAAAGACAACACTTGGCAAACAAGAGAGAAAACAAAGCAAGTATTGTAGTTGTACAAACATAAATTCATGTTTCAAACAT